CTCAATCAGCAATGAGATACTTGATTTCTACAGCCCAATTGCCTCTCATTCTTTCTCTTATTTTTACATAGCCTCTCATTCTTTCTAGCTTTTTTTTTTCCACAATGATTTGTCCTGAAAAACGTTTAAAATGGTGTAAAAATCAAACAAAACAGCTCCAGATGCTTATAAAATGGTTCGATTCCAAAATTAAGATTTTAATTACTTTTAAGTACATTACTGATGTAGACAATCCAAACTCAATAAAAGACTACTTTTCTATAATGTAATAGATGCTATTATAATTTTTTTTTTTTTACATTTAATCCATTACTTTTACCAAATTTAATAAGAAAAAAGGCACTAATTGTAAATTGTTTCCTACTTATCTATCACATTGATCACCAATTAATTTTATTTATTTATTAGGATTATAATAGATATAAATATTTTACTAGAAAATTTTACTTGAGATTTTGTTACAATTTTATTCAATATGAACAAATAATATATGTTTACAAAATAATAACAATTCAACAAATTCATTTATTTTTTTAATGTGTTTTTAATAGCAAGGTGTGGGAAAGTATATGCCACTAGATATTTAACTTTTTGGAGATGTGTTAGCTACAACAATTTTTTGTTAAACTTTTCGATCAAAGCTCGGCAGATAAATGTGCTGGAACTGTGTGTGTGTCACTGACCGCACACAAATCCTGGACTAAGAGGGGTCGCATGACTAGACTTGCTCGAGATGGTGCTGGTGAAGCACTAGGAAGGATCGAAATCTAGGCCTTAATGGCATATACATTACTCAAGTATGCAGGCCAAGGCCAAGGTTAGAGTGCAAGAGTACGCTCGATGTGAGCTACATGGTGCCAAGCATGAGGATTGCTTGTTAAAAGGTTCTATAACACCTTAGGATATGGTGCGGGCAGTCAAGCATAGAAAGGCCTATAACAACCTAGAAACAAGCCAAGCACGTGGGCATAGAAGGGCCTAGAACCACCTAGAGATAGGCCAGGTACGCATGCATAGAAAGACCTAGAGCCACCTGAATATAGGCCAGACATGAGGGCACGAAAGGGTTTAGAAAGGCCTAGAAGCAAGCCAGGTGTGCGAGCACCAAAAGTTTTAGAAGGGCCAGATGCAAGCATAATGCCGAACACTGTGGCGCCCAAACGAGAAAGCTTCTAGAAGGCTCTAGAACCTGTTAAGCGCAGACACTCAGCACGAGTGCTTGAATCTTTCAGACCCAGGGACTCAGCAGGGAGCCTAAAACCAGTTGGAGATTTGAAAGGCCTTAGTCGACCTTATTAGGGCCTGAGCACCTTAGTACTATCTAAAAGGCCCTTAATGGCCATACACTTAGATTCATTATAACCATAAGTACCAAAAGGAGCTCAAGTATAAATAGGAGAGCCTCCTTTTCATTTGTAAATAAAATAGAGAGATAGATAGATAGATAACAACAAGAGCAAGTGTACATAACCCATCAAGTAAATATACTACTCTTATCTTAATCCTTCCCCTCTTAGCTTTCTCTTAAACTTCAAGAAGGTTAAATTGAGTCTGAGTACAAGTGCACAGCACAATCGATTAGTGCACGAAACAAAGTTGGTTAAAGGCTTACTTAGGCATACAAATGATAATTTCCCATCTAAGGCGGCATAGTAGCTAGGCTTAAGCTCCTAGCTTGTGACATGTGCACGTCCTTTAGTTGTTGTGGTCAAACAAGAACCGTGGTCTGTATAGCTCCTCTAGTGAATTGATAAAGGTAATAGTTAGGTTTGTTCATAGTTCAATTTTAATTGATTTAATAAATTGAATCAATTTAATTTAGTTAATTAATTGATCATTAAATTAATTTAGTCAATTAACAAAAATAATTTTAGAAGAATTTTGATTTTTAGTTAATTTGATTTAAAAGTTGAATTAATCAAAATTTTAATTGAAATATAATATAGTCCAAATATAAATGCAAAAAAAATGAAATTGATCATTTTATTTCATAAACTATTAGAGTTTTTAATATAATATTTGAATATTTGAATATTTTGTTAGATAATTTTATTATTAGATTGTTTAAAATATAAGAAATTAAAAATTAAAAATATAATTTAACTTAAATATATTTATTATTCAATTAATAAAAAAATATTAAACCGATCAAATTTAATTCAGTCGATTAATTTTTAAAATTAATAAATTCAATTCGATTAATAAAAATAAAATAATATAATTTAGTCAATTCAATTTTGAATAATTCGATTTGAAATTAATTAAATCGACCAAATAAACACTCTTAATAATAGTTAACAAAACTATGCGAATGGCACAAGATATGGAAATGTTAGAGGTCTTTGCTATGGTTGATAATTGGACAAGCTATATACAAAAATTATCATTAAATTTGATAATTCGTATATTCATATAATATAAAATATTATATTTTATATATTTATATTATATTTTACATAAAAATTATATTTCATAATTAATATCAATATAAAAATATAAAATATATTTTTTATTTTATTAAATTTATATATAAATATTATTAAAATTTTAAATTATATTGCATTCATATTTTTTTATATTATATCGTCGTATCATTCTAATAATCGCTATCCTAAAGCGGTGAAAGTTAATCCGGATGCAGCAGTAGATTAACAAGCTGGCGTAGCTAGCAAGGAGTGGATGTAGTTGACACAGGGAAAGTTTTGTTGAGCGCTGTCACTAAAGTGTCTCATGTGCAAAGTCCGTTGCTTGCAAATGTGATGGTAATTTGTTTGGGATTGGTCTAATTAGAAAATAAAATTTTAAATTAGATTTAATTTAAAATATAATATAATATACAGTACAAACATAATATAAATATAAAATATAAATATGATATAATTTAAAATTTAAATAATAATTAAATATGAGTTTAATAAAATAAAAAAATATATTTTATATTTTCGTATTGATACGAATTATAATAAATAATTTTAATATAAGACATAACATAGATATATAAATTTTTATATTTTATATGACATAAATACATAAATCATAAAATTTATTTTAAATTAATTAACGTAAAAAACGACGCTAGCCTAGCCGTGGAGGAAATAAGAAAAGCTAAAATCTTATTGAGACGGAGCAAATATAGTTTATGATGTAATAGAGACAGCAACATACTTTAAAGTACGTAATTTTGTTCGTGTTAGCCAAATAGCAAACTCAATAGCTCATAACATTATTAGAGTTGATAATCGTCCTATTGATCAATTGGTCTGGATAAAGTCCTTAATTTTATTTGTAATACTAATATTATTATGGCTTAATGAAAATATTTCTTTATAAAAAAAATTTAATTCAATTATGCATAAACTAAAAATTAAAATTTAATTTCTTATGATACAAAATCAATAATTTATACTTTTACAATATATTGAAACATAAAAAAATCAAATTAAAATATAATAATTTGAATATGATTAATTATATTTTACTATTTAATAGATAAATTTAACTTCAATTACACTAATCATTACGAACATTCATCTATAAAATTAAGTTTATGATATCATAAATTTATAAATAGTTAGATTCATAAATAATTAAATTTATATAATTTAAAATAAAAAATAAAAACATTAATGATAATATCGAGGAACTCAATTAATTGCAAAATCTACAATTTATGTCTTGTAACCCATTCAATTCAATTCATAAAAGTCCCATAATTAAGGATACTTGTTAATAAATTAAACATCTTAATTGATAGAAGTGTGAGTTAATTTATACAAAATAATATTATAATATAATTAATTAATTATAATTTAAAATTATGTGAAATTTATCAAAATTTTATATAAATCCTATACTTATAAATAGTGAACTCTTATATAATTTTTTATTGTGATTGAATAATTATAGTATTATAATAAAAAGAATTGTAAGTAATATGCTTTCATAATATTGATATGTATTCCAATAGATAAATAATGATAAGAATTTGTCTCCAATAATAAAAATGCTTATGTGAAATATAGTGGTTTTTTTTTAAAAAAAAAATCATAATTAGTCAATACTTATAGATTAAAATATTGCATGAGGTTATCTTTAATTAATTTTCTCAAATGAATTAATAATCTACTATTTTTTTATTTTTATTCTACTATTTTTATTGGATTTTTAAAATAAAATTTAGATTTTTATATAACTTACTTTCAAAATTTTAAACCTATTAATTTAAAATAAAATACGATAATACGATATAAAAATAATACAAATAAAAGATGTGAGGATAATATGACTTAAAATTTTTAAAAAAATTATAAATAAGTTTAATAAAATTAAAAAATTATATGTTATATTTTTGTGTCAATATAAATTATGACATATAATTTTATATAAATACAATACGAATATAATATTTTACATGATATGATAACATAAATTGTTAGATCTACAAAATTCTTTTGAAAATTTTTACCTTGATTTATTTATTTGATACAAAGAAAATTATAACTTGAAAATTAAAAAGATTATAAATATTAAAATTTAAATCTTAAAATTATTGAATAACATCATAATAAATCAAGATTTTTTTTTCATCTTAGATTTTAATTTAAATAAATATTTTTCACACAAAATATCAATATTTTACTTATTCTTTTAAAAATAGCAATTAATACTTTTAAAATATTCATATCTAAGTTCTTTCGCTTTTATTCCAATAATTATCGGAATAATTTTAAATCTTGCTACTCGGACTTTTCTGGGAATAGATAATTAATTAGTACTTAATTTTCTTATTCAATAAAAATAGAAAAAGAGAAAAAACAAATCCAATGATTTCTCCTTTTTCCATCTACGTTAACAAAAACAAAATCTAGAAAACAATTTCCATAATTAATTATAAAAAAAATCTTATTAGAACAATAATTTGCCACGTCATTTATTACCAAACAAAGTACCCTTGTCTTGTCGCATTTAAAATTTTTGTCCCCACTCTCCCACTATAAATAGCGAAATTCCACCCCAAACAAATTCACCCCTAAAAACCCTAAAAATTAAAATTCGCTTAAATGGCCGCCTCCGCCGCAATCACAGCCGCTATACGCCTATCCAATCCCCTTACCTCTTCTTCTGCCTCTTCCTCTTCCTCTTCCTCTTCCTTTTCCTCGTCGATATCGCCTTTCAATTTCAATAACTTTGCATCTCCGGTAACGCCTGTGAAGTCTTTTTCCGTTAATTGTACATTGACTAGAGAACCAGTCCCCGCTGCTCCGGTTTCCATGGAGTCTGACCCGACGGGCTGGCAACGACCCGATACTTTCGGCCGGTACGGGAAATTTGGCGGGAAATATGTTCCGGAGACCTTAATGTATGCTCTCTCTGAGCTGGAAACGGCATTTCATTCCCTCTCTAATGATGAGAAATTTCAGGTTAGTTTCGTAATTCTTCCACCGTATTTTTATACCTATTCGTATTCGTATGTAATTCATTGATTTGGAATATTGTGTCCTCTTTTTGTTGTGTTGACTATATAGTTAGAATTTGGAAATGATTGTTCTTTTTTATATTTATTTTTAAAAGTTAGATTATGATGTTAACTTTTGATAATGACTTCTATTTTCATGAAAAGTACAAAAAAATGACATTTTTGTTTTAAAGTTCTTTTTTTTTTTTTTGGGAAGAATTGATTAAAAGCATTTTCACTTTTACTTTTACCTTGTTGATTCATTTTTAATCAAGTTATAAGTTTCTCATAAATTTTTAAAAAAAATTAATAATATAAAATTTGTGTAAAAAACAGGTGGGAAAAAGTTGGTATACAGAGAGCTTCTAAAGAATTTGAGCTTTGAAATGATAATAAGAAGGAGCTCTTTTGCAAGAATTTTTGTTTTTGTTAATGGAAGTTGTGATTTTAGGAGAAATATTTATGATTTGCAGGCTGAACTAGCTGGGATTTTGAAAGATTATGTTGGTAGGGAAAGTCCACTTTATTTTGCGGAAAGGCTGTCGGAGCATTACAAGCGTCCTAATGGTGAAGGGCCAGATATATACCTCAAGAGGGAGGATCTGAACCACACTGGTGCTCACAAGATCAATAATGCTGTTGCTCAGACATTGCTCGCAAAACGTTTGGGCAAGAATCGGATTATTGCTGAAACTGGGGCTGGTCAGCATGGAGTTGCTACAGCTACTGTGTGCGCACGATTTGGTTTGCAGTGTATTGTTTACATGGGTGCTCAAGATATGGAAAGACAGGCACTTAATGTTTTCAGAATGCGGCTTCTTGGTGCTGAGGTAAATGTATATCCAATGAGATGCAACTTGTTATACATTGTTGTAATGAAGATTCTATATCATCATCTCTGTGGATTGGTTGACTTGCATCATTTGATCTTAAGCTGTATCTTTTACCATATAGGTTAGAGCAGTTCATTCAGGTACTGCAACACTGAAGGATGCAACATCAGAAGCTATCCGGGATTGGGTGACTAACGTGGAGACAACTCATTATATTTTGGGATCTGTTGCTGGTCCCCATCCATATCCTATGATGGTCAGAGAGTTCCATGCAGTGATTGGTAAAGAGACAAGAAAACAAGCACTGGAAAAGTGGGGAGGGAAACCAGATGTATTGGTTGCATGTGTTGGTGGAGGTTCAAATGCTATGGGACTTTTCCATGAGTTTATTAATGAAAAGGATGTTAGGTTGATTGGTGTAGAGGCTGCTGGTTTTGGTTTGGATAGTGGCAAGCATGCTGCTACTTTGACCAGGGGAGAAGTGGGAGTGTTGCATGGAGCTATGAGCTACTTATTACAGGATGAAGATGGACAAATAGTTGAACCTCATTCCATTAGCGCAGGGTAGAGATTTCATAATGAAATTGTTCATTTTTATGTGGCTTGCTTTATTGTGCTTTGAATAACTTGGCAACTTTTTGTTGTGTCTATACAGCTTGGATTATCCTGGGGTTGGACCTGAGCACAGTTTTCTGAAAGATAAAGGGCGTGCTGAGTACTATAGTGTCACAGACGAAGAAGCATTGGAGGGTATGAAACTACAATCTAATTGTTTTCAAAGTCTTCAGTTCTATCATCTGATTGATTTCTGCTTGTTGCTTATTAATGCTAAAGAAAATAATTGTTCATAGAGGCACATTATTATTGCTCTCCTTATTTCTCTTATGCAATATGTTCTTTACTGCATCTTCAACCTTAAAACCTGTCTGTCGCTCCATATTAGAACATTACTTGTTGCTTTGTCTGGTTACTCGAAACTTTTAAGCTTAATCTATATGACCTAGGAAGGATTCATGCGAAGTAGACCATATTCCATAGCTTTCTGTTCTGGTTTACTTAATTTTTGCTATTGTTCTTTAATCATCAAATGCATCCAGAATCTCCCCCTTTTTCTCTCAATAGTTTATTTTGAGTGTCTTTCATGGGCTGTCAATTTACCACTTTCTCCTACAAAAATGTTTTACGGATAATTATACTCATAAAATGTTCTTGAAGGTGGAAATGTTTCTTGCATCTCTCTCAATTTATACAGATGTGCACAGTTGAGATATTGCCTATATGATCCGTCTTTAACCGAGTCACATTTTGCACTTCTAAAAATTTCCAACTCATCTGCTGTTTCGTAGATGTTGGATATTTTGTTCACCTTTTTGGTTCCTTTAATTTATGACTACTCAAAGATCTAGACAAAAAATTCCAGGAGTGCATTTGATCGGATTCCATGCACTCCGGTGCCTTTGATATGGGATATCCACATTCTAGTCAGCTTTATCATTGATAGTACTACTATTTGCTACTGAATCATACTTTTTACTTTTCTTTACTGTTATTCCTTCCTAAGTCATTTGAGATATGCAGCTTTCAAGAGATTATCTCAACTCGAGGGCATAATCCCGGCTTTGGAGACATCTCATGCACTGGCATATTTGGAGAAGCTGTGTCCAACTCTACCAAATGGTACCAAAGTTGTGGTTAACTGCAGTGGCAGAGGTGATAAGGATGTTCATACAGCAATCAAGCATTTGCAGGTGTAATTCTGATGGTTTTGTGCTGCCATTAATATTTGTTCATCCCATGAAAATAAGTGGTTGTCCCATCTTTTAAATAAATGCTTTCATAGTGTTTCTCAGTGTCCCTCATATGTATCACTTGCTTTGTTTTACATAAACATGAGCACAAAGTTTAGACAGTTCCTATGTAATTTTCGGTAAAAGGTATGTATTTTGGAAAATGTAGATAGGGGATTCCCTCTCACTACCTTTTGATAAATTCATGAAAGAAAATGCAATTCAATATTTAGAATGAGTTCGTTTTTGGTGCATTGTTAGTAAAATTTTTCCGTACATATATCTCACCTCTTTTTTAGAAGGTCTTGTTTTCAGAGTTTTAGAGAAAATTGAGATTAGATTTGGTAATTCGTGTTGTGTCATGTAAAATATTAAAAATTAATATATTCATGTCGTATTTTATATAAAAATTACGTGTCGTGATGATATGAAAATATGAAATAATTTTTTTTTTGTTAAATCTATTTATGGTTTTTGCTAAAATTTTAAATCATGTTATCTTTGTGTTTTTTGTTTGTATTGTTTTTATGTTGTGATACTGAATTTAGTTTGAAATTGCTAGGTTTATTTGAGATTTATGAAAGGAAGAGAATTCTTTCCTGTTTTGTAACATTTAAATACAAAAAAGAAAAAAAAATTAAGATTAACATCAGAGCAACTAGGATATCTTTTAGCATTCCAATCTCAGTTGGCCAGAGGGCACCTAGATTTAGTAATTCATGAATTTATATCATGTTTATTTAGTGTTAAATACATATAAAATATAAAAATTATTAAATCATAATTTATATCGATACATCAAATAAGAAATTTATTTTTAAATTTTTATCAAATTTATATATAATTTTTATTAATTTTAAAATTTATCATTTTCATAATTTTCATACCATATCATTATATTGTATTAGATTTGACAACTCATATATTTATATCTTGTAAAGTATAAAATTTATGTATTTGTATCATGTTTTACATAAATTGATGTTACATCAACATAAAACATGAAATACATTTTTTAATTTTGTTAAATTTATATATAATTATTATTAAAATTTTAATTTAAGTGGTGTCACATTTATATATTTTTTCATATGTATCGTACAAATTTTGGATTTTTAAATCTAGAGATGATAATAATTTAGATTAAATTCGATTTGATCTTCTGAAAATATTATATAATATTATGAAAATTTAAAATTCAATTCGAATTTTAATTAAATCGTCATTTGATTTAAATCAAATCAAATTTTATTGGTTAGGTTTGGTTTATTGATTTTTAATTTTTAAAAATTTATATATTATTTTAATATATTTTTATATAGAATTATTATTTTTTTATGAAAATTTAAAATATATATAAAAATTATAAAATATATATAATTTGATTCGATTTAATTTTTTTTAGTTTTTTATTTTTTAATTCGAAAGTCGATTGGAATTTAATATATATTTTTTATATTTAAACTTACTTTGAATTAAATAAAAAAATAATCTAAATTAAATTAAATCTTACAATTTCAAATTACTTTTTAAAATTTTAAATTTTATTTCACCCTTAATTAAATCCGTACCAACTTAAAATTGTGCGATTTCAGCCTCACACTTTTATATGAAGCCGTTTTCTTAATGTTTTGTCGGTAATGCCTTAAGGGCCTTGTTTTCCTCACTATGCCCATGAAAGGCATCCGGAAACAGACAAATTTTGTTAGAAAGTGAAAAGCAACGGTTCAGCCGCACATTTTTAGGGACCCCAACGACCGAGGATTTGGTCAGCAATTATGTATTGCTAGGCAACGAACTGTTTGGGATACGATGTCTTTTGATTCATTATTTTGTCTGAAGATTTTTTTATTGTGATGAACGGCTTATATCAAACACCCATTTTTTTTGCTTTTCAAGATTTTGTTTCCTTTCACTTATTGATTGGCATAAAAGGGGTAATTACATGTTTTTTGTCTAGATAAAAGGTGAGTAGATATAAAAATTTTAACCTAAATGATTCAGAAATGATATGGATTTTTTTTCAATCCGTAACACTTACAAATTTTTTTTAATGTTTTTCTTAATTTTGACAGTTTATAAAAAAATAAAAATGGATGAATTTTTTTATTTTCATAAAATTGAGAGTCAATTTTTAATAAATTTAATAATTTAAAATACGATATTATAATATAATATTAATACGATACAAAAATAAGATATAAAAATGACACGATTTAAAATTTTAATAATAATTATATATAAATTTAATAAAATAAAAAATATATTTTATATTTTTATATCGATACAAATTATAATATATAATTTTTATATAAAATATAATATAAATATATAAATTTTAATATTTTATACGAATACATAAATCACCATATCTAATTTTTAATACTTAAAAACTCATCTTTTCTTTTTCCTTAATTATTCAATCAAATTTGACCCCTTTTATATATAAAAAAAAAAGGATAACTTATATATATATATATATATATTTAAAAAAATCCAAGAGCTATGTTTTTCTTTTAGAAAGATTTAAATGAAATTTTTTAGATAAAGTTCATGAAATTTTTTATTAAAAGTGATTAAATAAAAATTAAAATAAAAAATTAATAAAATAAAATAAAAAATTTTATTACATAGATAAAATGTACAAAATTTAAAAAATTTAAAAAAATTTTATATATTTTTTACATAAGATATTTTTAATAAAAATGTTAACAAAATTTTTACTATTAAATAAATATTAATCAAATTTAAATTATAAATAATATTTTTTAATAAATTTTTATACATTATTAATCTCCAAATTAAATTCTATCTATCGATAAGTTTAAATTTTTTATTAAATTATTTTTAAAAAATAACTTCAATAAATTTCACCTTAAAAACTTGGTTTAAATTTTGTTCTATTTCATTTTATTTATGATGATTTGGGTTCGGCACTTGAGAAAGAATCTATCCTTTCAAACCATGAAGAGACATGGTCTCATGGTAATGGAGATTCTAATTGAACCAGCTAATTATCTTTCAAAATGGTTTTTTATTCGAATTTTTTTATTCTCTAACTGCGATTTATATTAAAAAAGAATATTAACTTACTTTTTCAAAATATTTTTATATCACAAAATTTCAATGCACACCTTAAGCTAAGCATCAATGCCAACACTTTCAAAACAACACCATAATTTAAAAAAGAAATCTAAATAAACAACGTTGTCCTCAGTTCTTCTTATTCATGTCTGCTGACATAGACAAGGCATGCAACATTAATCCTTGTTTATTCAAACAGATTCTCTTGCAGCCGCCGCATTAAAACTACAGAAAAAACCTGCCTAATCCACCTTATGACATTGTTTATAACCATCATCATTATTATTATTATTATCTACAATATGACAAAGCTGCCGGTCTATCCGAAATCCAGCAATCATGGGTTCCAAAAAGACAGTAAACTATAAACTTATCTGGGCTAAATTCTTTCAGATATCGTTTTCACTTTCATCATCTGTGTTATATGATGAATCAAAATTCTCGTACCCCAGGTTTTCTTATGCTTTTGCCTGCAAAAGAGATTGAGCGTGATTAGGGTTAAGACCTGTGTGTTGAGGAGGAGAAACCAAGCATATTCTCAAATTGTTTAGAATGAAATATGGAATCTATCGAAAGCATCTGTAAGGCATGAGGAATAAACTATTGCATAGTCTTGTTTGCCTACGGTTAGGTTGGTAGACATGGGTCCGGATTGTTCAACTGGTTGATTGAAATCACCTACCACCGAAGATGTCAACTGTCATATTTGGCAGCTAGTAAGGACCCGCCCCGGTGTCAACATCTAAGGGTTGTACTTCTCCACTAACTACAGCACCCCCTTGATCCCTCACAAGATTGGCGAGTCAATCATCTCTCTATGGAAGGAGGCATTCAACTATCACAGATACAAAAGATACATCTACCACCAAAAACTTGTAGGAGGTACTGAGTAGCTGTTAAAAGATTTTAGCTCAGTCGGTTCGTGCAATCACCTTTAAAAGGTGGCGTCCAGCAAGTTTGGGGGTTCAAATCTCAGAAACTGCAACAATTTCACTTATCCCATATCCTCAGGCTACGGTCTTTTTGTACAAAAAAAATAGTCCAACACACAGATCAAAGACACCGAACACCAGAGATATTCAAGAGTTAGATCAACTAGCATAGATCCACCGTTAATATATCCTAGACCAAGGTGACCAACCTAAAAGGTGACACGATTAGTAGCTAAATCAACTATCCTTTTTAGTGTGTGTTCCTAATTTTACCCTTAGAAATCGTCACTGGCTAGAGCTCTGAAAGAGTACCAAATCTTACATGCAATGTTTCCCACTACGATATGTTACAGGCCTTATCTCAATGGAAGGTATCATCCAAAATAATATAAACTACAAGTCATGAACATACAGACAAATAAATTTGTCATATATTATGTCAGCTAATTGGATAAATAAGATTAAGCATAGATCAGAATATAAAGTAGTTACAATTTATTTAGAACAAATGCAATATTCATAATTTAATTGATCACTCACCTGGAAATACAAGAAGATTCGGGTACATGGAGCTCTAAAGATTGATGGCTGGAATGTGTGAAGAATATGATGGAGGTTAAATCTATAACAGAAATACTTTATGGGATTGATATCTAAATGTAGGAAGATCTCATAAGGGACATTTATGAGAACCTGTTTGAGAGTGCAGAAAATTTTCTTTGGGCCCCATCTCCTATCAAATAAAAAATTCTTCAAAATTTTGTTAGCAAACAGGAAGAAGTAAAAATATCATATATATCATATATCATTACGATTAGATTCAGTCCTACAGAAAAATATGGTTTTCAATTTTAAACATGAATTTTTAAAACAATATCGTTATTCCTTTTAGTATAAACCTAATCAGCACAAGAAATTTCATCAAGTTTATCAAATAAGTTCAAAGTATCTACCCGAGTCAACAAATAAATCCAGTCAATAATAAGTGGAAGCAACAGAAAATGAATTAAGACTTAGCACTATCATGTTATTACCAGATCAACTGTGGTCCAATTTGAGATACAGCCGTTTCATATCCTGCTACCCACATCTGCGGTCCTTCTACAGCAATTGCGAAAGGTGTGAGAATTAAGAGAGACAACATAGATAGACAAGCATAGTAGTTCATCCCGCTAACAGATTTTCCCTTCATGCCCTTCTTTGAGAATATGTTACGGAAGACGAATGCCAAGTTTGATATCATAGCTCCCATAAAACCTGAAATACATAGTGAACAACAAAGTTCAGCACTCCGACCATTACCCTTAAATGTAAATTGATTAAAATTACAATCTCAACCCCAGTTAGGACCCTCAAGCAACAAAAATGTCCAAACTAATAAACCCACATTATCAGCTGAAAACAAGACCATGGTAACTAAAACACACTCGAAATATCATATGAAGGGGAAATGAGGGCCACAGATTGAACCTTTTCGGTTTGGTTTTTAAGAAAACAGACGTATCATCAAAAAAAATTATAGAAAGACAGCGTGCTCAGTTTCAAAACATGGGGACATTCACCTCATAAAACACACATTAAAGAGGGGTTTTGTTTTCCAGAACCCATGAAAATAAAGAAAATATTAATTTGAGAAACAATTTCACACCGACAGATACAAACAAAAAATCCAAAAATAAAGAAATACAGAAACAACAGCTATAATGATGATTAAAACATAAAAGTAACACAATTCGACATCCATATAAGAGATAAAAGTGTTTTTACCAATCATATTGAAGTTGAGTTCTGTTACAGCAGCAAGAGCACAACCACCAATGATTGGAAGAAGGGACAGGTAAACCGCAGGAGGGAAGCTCTCTCCAAGCAAGAACCTTGAAACCAGGACACTGAAAGCAGGCTCACCACTCTTGATGATGTGGGTGAATGAAACTGCAACCTTAGACATACTCACAGTTGCTGCTACATGTCCAATTGTATGTGCCACAGCAACCTAGGAAAAGAGAAAAAAGAAAAAGAAAAGAAACATGAAATGGAGTAAGATTGTATTCATAATCTCAAGCTGACAATTAATGATTTGACATCTTAATCTTAATTTTTCAAAAACAAAAACAGACAGCAAATTCTCATTTTATTTTCTTCCATACAAATTCTATTCCTTAAATTTAAGATAAGACACATTATATCAAATTTTAGTTTCCTTTCATTTCCTTCATTTTCTCTGCAATCAGACAAACTGTAATTTTCATAAAACTGAAACACAGACCATCTGTACTTATAATTTTTCCTCCCTACAGTCCAAACAACATAAAAGCACATGATCCTATAAAAAAATCCAGCAACATCAAAACCATAAAAAACCAGAAAACACAAATTTCTATTGTTTTCTCTCACTTTCCCTCACTTTCCCACCAACCAAACAGAAAAAAGGAAAAAAAAGAACTCACCGGAAACAAGGTCTTCCAGAACTCAAAATCTGTTTTTGGGGCCTCAGCAATCCTTGTAGCCCATGAAATCAACATCATCAAAGAACCACACGCAAGGGACAAAGTTGAAGTCAACCAAGGGTAGGGGTAAGCATTCAAAACCTTCTTGTTATATATATTGAAAACCACATTCAAAGCCCACCAAGTTGCAAAATAAATCCCAATTTTCACCCTTTTTGCAGCTTCTGATTTCACTTCCCCAGCTGCCTCAATAGGCTTGTCAGCTTCATAAGCCTTGCATTGGATCACTGGTTTTTTCTCCTTACCAAAACACTCAACAGATGAGATATGCAATGGTTTTGACACTGAAAGATTGGTTCTTTTGGGGTTGTTCTGAAGGTTCAAAGATGGTGAAAACGAAGATCTACAAATTATTGAAGGTGATCTGTTGTGAACAACTGAATTTGAAACATCCATGCATGTAGCTAAAGCTGATTGCTTAATACTAAAACTCATTTTTTTCAAATTTTCTAATCAAAACTCAAAGTGGGTATTTTTTAAAAACTTGAACAGCTGATCAAAGATCAAGAAAAATCAAAACTTTGAGAATTCTAATGAAAACTCAAAGTGGGTATTTCTTAACAACTTGAACAAGTTATTAAGGATCAAGAAAAGACAAATAAAATCAAAACTTTGAAACAAGGCTACCGGCAATTACTAAAATACCTAGGAATCCACGACTTTTCCTTTTCTTTTTAACCCTCAAAAGCTGATTTTATTAATGATCAATGAAAAATAAAAAAAATAAAAAAAGAGATTTTTGGGGGTTTGGAAGGTTCTTGTTGGAGGTTACAGAGTACAACACGGCGGTGAAAACGTTGAATCAATAAGCTAAAGAGAAAGTTTCATAAGCTCTGAATTCTCATTCCAAAGCCCTTTTTTTTATTTGTTTGTTGGCTGAAGATCAAGCCACACTCTTTGGTTTCATTTCATGTGAACTGCCCCACAGCTTTTACCTTTTTGTATTAAAGTGATTGGATTCAGTTTCTCAAATGGAAAAAAGTTACTATGAGAAAGTTGGATTCGTGGGAAGGTTTGATTCGGGTGTGGTGAAAGTTTTGTTGTATTGTTTTTTTTTTTTAAAAAAAATTTAAGATAGATAAATTATTTAAGTTTTAAGTTAAGATAAAATATATTATATTTAATAACTTAAGATAAATAATTATAAATTATATATTTCGATATAATTTTAATAAATGATTATTGATAAGATTTGAATTTAAAATTTTTTCTTCATGATAAATAGTAACCAATTAAGCTTTAACCTATTATACTAATTTTAATATATTATTTAATTACACTTAAATATATGAATAATTTAAAATATTAAAATTTATATATTTATATTAATTTTTAATATAAAAGTTACATATCAAAATTTATATTTATATGAAAATAAAATTTATATATTTTTAATTTTATTGAATATATAATTAATATTAAAATTTTAAATTATATTATTTTTATAATATATTTAATTTTTGTCATCATTTTTAAATTGATTAATTTAATATAGACTTCTCAAGTTGTTGGGGGAATGGTGTGGTGTTGTGGTTGGTGTAGATCCATGCTTGCTTCAAAGCTGCCAGCTACCCACCCAAATGGAAGAATTTGGTTTTTATCAAAATTTGTTGGTTTTTTTTTAATTTTTACAAAAAATTATTAAAAGATTTATGTTAATATGGATATAATAAAGTTTAATCTAATCATAATTTGATGTGATTTTTTAATTAAGATGATAATGCATATAGACGTTTAGTCCATATAAAAAGTGTTGTTATGATAAAACTTTAAATAATAAAGAAAAGATAATAACAAATCATATAAAATTATATATATTCAATTGATTCAGTTAATTTTAAATGAAATTACTTAAAATTAAATTAATTATATTATATTATTATATTTTTATTAATTAAATCAAAATTTTTAATTTTAAAATTTAACTGCTCAAAATTAATTCGATCAATTTGATTAATTTTTTGAATTAATTGAATAATAAAATGCATTAAATTAAATTATATTTTAAAATCATAATTTTTTATATTTAAAATAAATTAAATAAAATCATCTAACAAAAATATTCAAATACCAAAATATTAAATTAAAAATTTTAATAACTTGAAATAAAATGAGCAATTTCATATATTTTTAATTATATATGTAAATTTTATTATATTTGGGTTAAATTCTAATTAATTGGGTTAATTCAATTTTCAAATCGAATTAGTAGAAAATTGAAATTTTTTTAAAATTATTTTCAATAATCGATTAAAATTAATTTAATATTAATTAATAAAATAAAAAATTTGATTAATTAATTCAATTAAAATTGAATTTTAAACACTTTTTTTTTAAGGGGAAGCCATAGCCTTTATAAGGAGGAAAGGGAGAAAATATCTTGACTCAAAACCAGAATTTCTATATTTTTAAAAAGCCTCCTTAATCACTAAATAAAAAAGTGAAGGACTTGAACATCCCTATTTGCAATTTTATTGATAAGTGAAAAATTATACCGAATTATATATTTTTATTAACTTTTATATATATTTTAAATTTTTATAAAATAAAATAACTATTTTATATCTAAATTTATTTAAATATATTAAAAATCATATTAAAATAATATAAAAAAATTTAAAAACTAATAAACTAAATCAAATCAAAAAAATTCGGTTCAAATCAAATCATATGAAAATTTAATTAAAATTTAAATTAAAATTTAAGAATTTATAATTATATATATTTGAATCAAATTCGATCTAAACTGTTAACACCAAATCAAGAAGCTAGTTGAGTCAATCCATGACAGACTTCTGGAAGTATAAGAAATTACAGATTTAATGCATGCTTGCAGGCATGATTAGCATATTCTTGTCAGATTTACTGCTGTTTTTTTATCAATATGAAATGATTCTGACTTTAGATCTGCAAATTGAAGGTTATATTAAACCATTGAACTTATGATCATTATTACATTCACAACTTGCCAAGTTTCTTCTCATTTATAGTGAATATGCTGAAAAATGACAGTTGATATGGTGATAAATTTGCAAAATTCTTACTTACTGGCTTTAGCAAAATGATCAAATTTCACCAGCATAGATTTGAGTTCTTCTCTGTTGTCTCACCTCATAGTGAAGAAAATTTTTCATTGAAGACGGGAACAGATCGGATTGAAATGTGATTAAATCAACATTTAGTGTGATTCGAATTTTTGTTTTGTGTATGCAGTTTGTGATTTTATATGTTTTATGTTGAATTTGACAGAAATGTCATGTTTTGTCAAAAGAATTTGTGACATTTAAATTTCATATTAAAATGTTATGATGATTTATTATAAAATATAAATTTAAATTTAATTATGTGAGATAATTTTTTGGATAAAGTTATGCGATTTTTAAAATAAAATAGATAATATCTTATAAATTAAGTATAAATCTTTATAATGCAAGAATTTCTCCTGCCTATTGGCTAGGAGGAACTGCAAATAATTGGCGAGATGATTGATCCTGAAAACATTTACAGAAGAAACAAGTTAAAAGACGAGGTTTGTACAGAAGTTAAAAGAGGAAATCATCAACAACAGTATATATAGTTTCTATGGCAAACTAATAATCATTGCTGCCAAAAGAGCAATGACAGAGATCCAAGCAACTTCAATGTACAAGAAGATTGACAAAACTTAGATGATAACTACTTTGCATTTCTTTGAGACTCTTGTGTTCTATTTATTTTGTGAAAAATGATTTTTAAAAAATAATTTTTGTATTTTTAAGTGTTTGTTTGATAAAAAATTATTAGTCAATAAAAATAATTTATTGGTCAATGAAAGCTTTATTTGTTTTGCGAAAAATGATTTTTGAAAAATGATTTTCATATTTTTAAGTATTTATTTGATAGAAAACTAATTGTTTAACAAAAAATAACTTAATAATCAATAGAAAATGAGATTATTTTTTTAGAAATTATCTTTCAGATTTAAAAAAAAAAACATTTTTCAAAAAAGAGTTGTTTATGAATATAATTATTTATTAATACTTTTGAGTATAATTTTACTTATAAATAATATTATATTAATAAATAATATTATATTACAAATATATTAATAAATAATATTATGTGAATAAATAATATACTATTAATATAGTATATTCATAAATAATTAATAAATAATATTATAATATATTCATAAATAATATAATATTAATAAATAATATTATTATATATTAATAAACAATATATTAATAAATATTATTATAAATAAATATATACTAATATATTATATTAATAAATAAATAATATTAATAAATCATATATTAACAAATAATATATTGATATATTAATAAATAATATACTATTAATATAATATATTAATAAATATTATTAATAAATAATATATTGATATATTAATAAATAATATACTATTTATATAATATATTAATAAATATTATTAATAAATAATATATCAATATTAATAAATAATATAAAATAATAAATAGTTTTAATTAAGTATTTTTTATATTACCATAATATTTTAATATTAAATATTATTATAAAATATTATTATTTTTTAATATTACTAATTTTAATAATAAATAATTTCAATATATTTTAATAATAAATAATTTTTAATATTTTAATAGTTATATTAATATTATTTGAAAAAAATATATTTTTCAAAAAATAACTAAACAACAAAAAATATTTTTAATTAACTCATACAAAATAATAGAAAATCTCTTTGAATTAAAAAAATGTAAACATTTTCTAAAAATCATTTTTCGAAAGTCATTTTCTATGAAACAAACGGAATCAAAAAATAGTCATTTTTTTAAAAAATATTTTACGAATTTGAAAAAGAGAAAGATATTTTTTGAAAAATAGTTGTTTATGAGTAGAACTATTTATCAATACTTTTGAGCATAATTTTAGTTATAAATAATATTATATTAATAGATAATATTAGATTAATAAATAATATAATATTAATATAATATATTAAAATAATAATACTATTAATAAATAATATTATATTATACTAAGAAATAATATTATACTAATAATATATATTAAAAATATTATATATTAATAAAATCATATATTAACAAAGAATATATAATATATTAATAAATAAATATACTATTAAAATAATAGTATAATATAATTAATAAATAATATTATATTAGCAAATAATATAATAAAATATTATTAATTTAATTAATAAATATTATCATATTATAGTAATAAATAATATATTATGAATAAATAATATACTATTAATATAACATATTAATAAATATTATTAATAAATAATATAAAGAATAATAAATAGTTTTATTTTAAGTGTTTTTTATATTAACATAATATTTTAATAATAAATATTGTTATTAAAATATAATTATTTTTAATGTTAATAATTTTAATAATAAATAATTCAATATATTTTAATAATAAATAATTTTAATATTTTAATAGTTATATTAATATTATTTGAAAAAAATAGATTTTTCAAAAAATAACCAAACAAAAAAATATATTTTTAATTAACTCATCCAAAATAACGAAAAATCTCTTTGAATTAAGAAAATGTAAACATTTTCTAAAAATTATTTTTCGAAAGTCATTTTCTGCGAAACAAACGGAATCAAAAAATAAAGTCATTTTTTAAATTTATTTTACAAATTTGAAAAAAAAAAGATATTTTTCGAAAAATAGCTGTTTATGAGTATAACTATTTATTAATACTTTTGAGCAGAATTTTAATTATAAATAATATTATATTAATAAATAATATTAGATGAAAAATATATACTATTAATATAATATATTAATAAATAATATACTATTTATAAATAATACTATAATATATTAATAAATAATATTATATTATACTAAGAAATAATATTATACTAATAAATAATATATTAATAAATAATATAATAAAATATTATTAATTTAATTAATAATATATTATCATATTATAGTAATAAATAATATATTATGAATAAATAATATACTATTAATATAACATATTAATAAATATTAT